TGTCCCTCCAAGGTGCCAGAAGATCGGAGCCCTCTGACTTCGTGGTCGTTCGTTCGTCCGCTCGCTCGTTGCCCCCCCCTGGGTCCCTGCCTCTCCCCATGATGGACACGGTGGCCCCAAGAGAGCAGAAGGGGCCCAGAGGAACACAGCCCCCAGGATCCCTTTATTGCTTTACAAAGGTCCTAGATGCTCGCCTTCCCCCCTCCCTCCCTTCCTACACTGCTCCCCTCTTGCTCCTGGAGATCGACGATGCTCTGTGTCTGTGTTCTCCCCCTCCTGAGTCCTAGAGGGTCGAGGCCCTGTTTTCGTGGTCGCTCGCTCGTCCGCTCGCTCGTTGCCCCCTCCCCCCCCGGGCCCCTGCCTCTCCCCACGGATGCTCGTGGAAGCGCCAGGAGAGCTGAAGGGGCCCAGTAGACACAAACACATAGACACAGATCCCAGAACCCCCAATCTTTCTCCATCTGTTCCGATACAGTCGGGGAGTTGACCTTTGAGTTCTCCCCCCCCCGCTTTGCCCCCCTCCCAGACCCCCGACATCATGTTTTTTTGGACGCCCGAAATGGGTACAGTCGGGGCGTTGACCAAAGGAACCCTAAATAAGGAACGAGGCCCCTTTTTTCTCCATAAGTTAACCTTCGATGTCCCATCGAAAACATGAGGAAACCCTGAGGCAAGCTGCGAAACAATCAAGGAACACGGAGCCCCTCCCCAACGAAAAGGGTTCCTTCTTCAGGGCCCCGACTGTACCTGTTATTGGGAATCGACGTTTCGTTCTGTCTGTGTGTGTTGTTGTCCCTCCGGAGTTCTAGAGCATCGGAACCCTCTGTGTTCGTGGTCGCTCGTCCGTCCGTTTGCCCCCTCTACCCACGGAGCCACCAGAGCTCCTGCAGAGGGGGGGCCCATAGGGAGAACTGAAAGGAACCCATAGGGGCACACAAAGAAATAGACACCAATCCCATACGTTTCAATATACTTTTCAATATATCTCCAAATGTTCTGGATATCCGTCTTCCCCCCCCCCACATCCTACATGTTCCTATATTGTTCCTGGGGCGCGACGACACTTTGTGTCTGTGTTTTTCCCTCCTCAGTTCTAGAGGATCGTAGCCCTCTGTTTTCGTGGTCGTTCGTTCGTCCGTTCGCTCGTTGCCCTCCGGGCCACCTGAGCACCTGACAATCCCCATGATGGACCTGGTGACACCAGGAGAGCTGCAAGGGCCCATAAGGACACACAACGACATAGACACAACTCCCAGGGTTCCCCATATGTTTCACATGCTCGGGATCTTTGCCTTCCCCTGCACTTCCCATATTTCCCCATATCTTCCTGGGAACCGACGATTGCTAGTGCCTGTGTGTTGCTCCTCCTCCTCTGCAAAAACGCCTACGCTCCTCGCCCCACCTCGCCCGGGCCTCGCCCTCTCTCGCGCAAGAGCCAAGGCATGCGTGCCACTTGGTTCTCGATAACACGCGATCGCCCAAACATCCAGCGTCTCGAAACAAACATCGGGACGGAGGCTCTGTTCATCGGTCTCTTCGGCACGTCGAGGCCCTCGCAAGAGCCCCAGGACACTCAAAAACCGCCCCGGGATGAACAACCGGTCCAGGGAAACGGATTGGGACTTCCCGGGGCCCCGCATTTCCGCATGGCGAAACTCGAAGCATGGGATGTCTGGTTGCGCGCCCACCCTGGTCAGGCCACGGTCCGCGATGGCGCCGTCTGGGAATGAGCCGCCCCCGTGGACAGTTTCCCAGACGGCGCTGGCGCGAGTCGTGACGTGACTGGCCCCCTCCCCCCTCCTTTGCCCTACTCCCAGACCCCCGACGTCATGTTTCTTGTCAACGTCGGTCTCCAAAGGCCTCGATCCATTCCCTGGGACCGGTTCTTCACCCAACATCAGTTTGACGATCCCGGGGCCCGGTGCCGGGCTTGACGGCCTCCAGAGTCCGAAGACTGCAGATGCCTCCCGTCGTATTTGTTTCATCACCAGAGGGGTCGAACGGACATAACTAGGGGGAAAACAAACCTACCTCGCTTTTGACCACCCTCGCTTCCAAGAGATACCAAACGATGCCAAGCTACGGCCCGTACTGGTCAGGCCGCCTGACGAGGAGGCGCGTGGTATGACTTGGTTTTGCCTGGAAGCGGGGTAGGTAATTCACGCTCTGAGTAATGTCCGCTCGTCAAGAGGGATACACAGACACCCTTCGAGGCACCCTGCACGTATACCCTCAGAGGGGGTGACGGTGTCGCAAGTTGCTGGCTCTCAGTGGTGATTCATAAACTAGAACCCTCCCCCGAGGCCTATGATGGTCCAACCTGCTTTAGCCTCGATCACGAGAAAGAACTTCGAGCCCCCCAAAAAGTACTGAAACTCAATGGGTTTCACGTGTCGCGCCCTGGGAGACACTCGTCCGACACCGTTTCGACACCGTCCCGACACCTTTTTGTATCCGGGCGCTCGAACCATTACCCCTGGGACGCCGCCCTCAAAAGCACGACGGGAACAGCACATCACCCGAGGCCCAGGAACACCCCTGGGAGGGTGCCTGGGCATCTTTGCTTCGTGGCCGTGTCTGGGCCCCCCCCCCCCCCCCCTGGCCACACCCGCTGCCGCGCAGAGAGGACGCAGCACCGCGGCCTCCGGCGGGGAGGCGGCCGCGGCGTGGCCGCGGCCCGGCGCCGCGGGGAAGGCGGCCAGGGGCTGCGCCTGCGGGCACGGGCAGCTGCCGGGGCACCGCTGCTCCCGTGTCACGGGCGTTCTCCTCGGACCCCGTGGCCCAAGATGCTCCCCTGGCCATCGCTCGGACGTCCCTGCCCTGTGCTCTCTTCGGTTTCGTGCGCGGTTCTCTCGCCAAAGGATCAAGGATGCCCCTCGATGGCCCTCGCCGAAGGAAAAGCGCACGCGTCCGAGCGATGCCAAGTCCCTGGGCCCCCCGAAATTAACATTGACGGCGAGACGAAGGAGGGGGCGTGAGTGGACAGAGACGTTCGAACTCCCAGGGGCACCGCCTGTGCTGAGATCAGCATGGACGCTGGGGCCGGCGGGGTGCTTCAGCATGCCCCCCGAACGTGTAAGGGTTCGAATCCTGGCGAGGCATTTGTCCACGCCGCGCGATGCTGTTATTGCGTCGGGCCCCGGGGCCCCCACAGATCGAGCAGGCTAGCACAAGGAAGCTCTGGTCTTGATGCTTTGCGATGTTGCATTTTTTCGCAACGTCGGATCTCAGTACTTACCGCTACTCCCTGGACCTCTCCTCCTGGGGTGTGTTCTAGCCAGAGTTCCGTCGGAAGGAATCCTGCCGTGGCGACGAGGGCCCTCCTCCAGGACGAGCATCGGTACGGGTATCTCTTCCTTCTGCAGCAACTGTAGGAAACTGTTGGTCGGCCAATGGCGTCCAACAGCGCAGAAAAAAACCCGCGCAACGCGGACGTCATGCATCTCCCCCACATGGCTCTATTGGACGTGAATGGTCGCACCTGGTCGCTCTTGAAAGCTATTTGAACGCTATTCGGTTCTTTTTGGCGCTCTTGGGCGCTACGCGGGGCGCCATAATTTTTAAACAAAAAAAACGCTGTCGGGCGCTGCTCGCCGATACACAGTCAATCCAACGCGAGCGGGAGATGCTTTGCTTTACTCTCTATCACGTAGCCTCCTCTCTGTCAGCGGGGTGCAGTGGCCGGAACTGTGCCCGAATGTCTCTGCCCGAGTGTGGCCCGAACTGGCGCCCGACATGTTCCGACCGCGCCCGAGCGTGACCAAACGCTTCGGCTCGAAGCCAACACGCGTTTCGGCGTCGGCCCCAAGCTCGGGCGCACGGCGCTCGGTCACAGCGTCCAGTATTAAGTCGGGCCTGTCCCCCTACAGGGGAATTTTCAACGAAAAATAAATAGAACATGCCCCCAAAATAATCAAAAAATAGTCCAAACGTAGTCTGGGGGCTATTTTTTAGTATTTTTTTAACCCTTTTGGAATACTTTTGGTGCATTTTTTATCTTTCGTCGAGAATCCCCCATGTAGGGGGACAGGCCCGGCATCAGTCCAGCACCTCCTCGGACGCACACGTCCTCGGTCGCGCCCCCTCTTGGGCGGACCGCCGGGCGGGCGCGCACCAGGGATCAGGGATCCGTCGGCCAATACGCTTTTCGACGTCGGCCCCAGGTTCGGGCACGCGGCGCTCGGTCACAGTGTCCAGTACCTCTTCGGACGCATCTGTGCTCGGTCGCGCCCCTCTGGAACTTCGCCTCCGGCTCCTGTCCGAGGCGTACCTTTTCCTGTGCAAGCTATTCGGCACCGCCTGCACCC